CAGGTCTTCTCCCAGTTTTTTCAGGTGAGTTTTATTCTCACTGAACAAGTTTATCTCCTCCAAACAGTTCTGCAAGACACAGTATATATGTTATATATACTGTCTATATATACTGTATGTGTTATGTATACTGTCTATGTATGTGTGTTATATATACTGTCTATATATACTGTATGTGTTATGTATACTGTCTATGTATATGTGTTATATATACTGTCTATGTATATGTGTTATATATACTGTCTATATATATATATATATGTGTGTTATATATACTGTCTATATATATGTGTTATATATACTGTCTATGTATATGTGTTATATATACTGTCTATGTATATGTGTTATATATACTGTCTATATGTGTTATATATACTGTCTATGTATATGTGTTATATATACTGTCTATATATATGTGTTATATATACTGTCTATGTATATGTGTTATATATATGTGTTATATATACTGTCTATATGTGTTATATATACTGTCTATATATATGTGTTATATATACTGTCTATGTATATGTTTTATATATAACTGTATATGTATATATACTGTCTATATATATGTGTTATATATACTCTGTCTATATATATGTGTGTTATATATACTGTCTATGTATGTGTGTTATATATACTGTCTATGTTATATGTGTTATATAAACTGTCTATATATATGTTTTATATATACTATCTATGTATATGTGTTATATATACTGTCTATTTATATGTGTTATATATACTGTCTATGTATATGTGTTATATATATGTGTTATATATACTGTCTATATGTGTCTATAGCTTGATCTTTCAGTGGGGGCTTTGGGCAAAGTGGGGTTAAGTGTCTTGCCCAAGGACACAACGACAGCAGTCATCAGTGGGAGTCGATGGAGAAGGTGCAGAGGTGGGAATTGAACCCACGACCTTCTGGCATTAAGGTCAATGCTCTACCAACTGAGCTACTGTATATGTGTTATATATACTGTATATATGTGTGTTATATATACTGTCTATATATATACATATATTTGTGTTATATATACTGTCTATATATATATATATATACTGTCTATATATATATATATGTTTGTTATATATACTGTGGATGTATGTGTGTTATATATACTGTGGATGTATGTGTGTTATATATACTGTGGATGTATGTGTGTTATATATACTGTCTATGTATATGTGTTATATATACTGTCTATGTATATGTTTTTTACCTGCCCCCTGTGATTTTATAGCAAATGATTTTAACAGTAGACTTAGTTCTGCGTTGGATCAGGTGGCTCCTTTAAAAACAAAAATCATAAAAACAAAATCTGCACCCCCATGGAGAAATGAAGAAGTACGCAAAATGAAACAAGAGTGCAGGGTGGCAGAACGAAGATGGAGGAAAAATAAAACAACAATCAACTACGAAATATATAAAAACAATCAAAAAGCATACAATTACACAATTAGAAATCATAAGAACAAATACTTTGCAAATCTAATCAGCCAGAACAAAAATAATCAAAAAATCCTATTTTCAACAATTGACACCATTTTAAACCCTGATTTTAGCATGTCTCTTTTAACCCCCACAGACTCCCTCTGTGAGGATTTTGCAGTCCACTTCATGGGGAAGATAAATACAATCAGATGTAACATTTTATCCAACCACACTACTGTTTTTAACACATCTGATTGTTTGTCTTCGCCAGAGGAAACACTGGACAGTTTTGTCCTGGTTGATGCTGAAATGCTTGATAAAGTTTTCTCCTCAGTGAGGCCCACCACATGTCTTTTAGATCCAGTCCCCACTCCATCTTTTAAGTCATTTTATGAATCTTTTAGAGAGGAGCTTTTAAACCTGATGAACTGCTCTCTTCAGACTGGGGTCTTTCCTGCAGCCTTCAAAGCGGCTGTGGTGAGACCCCTTCTGAAGAAGAGCAATTTAGATTTTAATGATTTTAACAACTACAGACCGGTATCCAACTTGCCATTTTTAAGCAAAATTTTAGAAAAACTTGTTTTTACCCAGCTCAATGCCTTTTTAGATCAGCAGCAAATTTTAGAGAAATTTCAATCAGGTTTTAGGGTGAACCACAGCACAGAGACTGCTCTTTTGAAGATTTTAAACGATTTTAGACTAAGTTATGATTCTAAAAAGGTGACCGTGTTGGTTCTACTGGATCTTAGCGCTGCCTTTGATACAGTAGACCACACCATTCTTTTATCACGCCTACAACACCTCGGCCTCTCTGGTGCTGTCCACAAATGGTTCACTTCTTATTTAACAGACAGATCCTTCATGGTAAGTTTGGATACCTGCTCCTCTCAGGTCCATAAAATCACATGTGGTGTGCCCCAGGGTTCCATTTTAGGTCCAGTCCTTTTTAACCTGTACATGCTCCCTCTTGGCGGTGTCATCAGGAGACATGGAATTAACTTCCACAGTTATGCAGATGATACACAGCTGTACATCTCCTGATGATACACAGCTGTACGTCTCCTGATGATACACAGCTGTACATCTCCATGTCTCTGATGACACCAGGCCAATGGATGCTCTTTTTAACTGCATTTTAGACCTGAAATCCTGGATGGCAGAAAACGTTCTCCAGCTCAACCAGGACAAAACTGAGGTTTTAGTCATCGGTCCTGAGGCCCAGAGAGAGAAACTTTTATCAAAACTCCAATCACACTCTTTTAATCCATCATCACAAGTGAAAAATCTGGGCGTAATCTTTGACTCTGAGCTGACTTTTATTCCTCACATCAAGAGTGTCACAAAAATAGGTTTTTATCATTTAAAGAACATCGCCAGAGTCCGCCCCATTCTCTCTCGGGCCAACACGGAGACGCTGATGCTTTTATCACCAGTCGCATTGACTACTGTAATGCCCTGCTCTCTGGTCTTCCCAAAAAGAACATTTCAGGCTTACAATTACTCCAAAACTCGGCCGCACGTGTCCTGACTAAGACCAGGGGGCGTGTCCTGACTAAGACCAGGGGGCGTGTCCTGACTAAGACCAGGGGGCGTGTCCTGACTAAGACCAGGGGGCGGGACCACATTACACCGGTTTTAAAATCGCTGCATTGGCTCCCCGTGTGTTTCAGGATCGATTTTAAGGTTCTTTTAATGGTTTTTAAATGTCTTAATGGTCTTGGGCCTTCTTATCTTTCAGTTCACCTTGGAGAGACCCATGAGGAAAACGCATTAGACTTATTAGATTTAAGCATGTTTATTGATTGAGCATGTTTGGCGCCCTAGGCCCGGGCGGGATGCTGTTGAGCACGGCGCTTGCTCGCGTGCATGATCCCCCCGGGGCCTAGGCACTGGTGACGGCAGAGGCAGTAGGCAACACGCTTCATGCGAGAAGGAGGAGGTGGGGCGGCGGCGGCTTGCAGACTTCAGAAGATCGGGAAGTGGGCGTCTCCGGCTTTTAACTTGCTGTCCTGGTGGTTATTGGTTGACTGGGTGTGGGCGTTGCTGGTATTGATGAGTCGAGGAATAGCAGCCTGTGGCCTGGCAGCAACAGCCGGGTCTACCACGGTGAACTTTCGCGAAAGCTCCATTTCACCTTGGAGAGACCCATGAGGAAAACGCATTAGACTTATTAGATTTAAGCATGTTTATTGATTGAGCATGTTTGGCGCCCTAGGCCCGGGCGGGATGCTGTTGAGCACGGCGCTTGCTCGCGTGCATGATCCCCAAAAAGCGGGCTTGCGATTGGGATAGCAGGACGTACTGCGCGGGCCTGAGAGCATGAGCGAGCTGAGAACGTGCGCATGTTCAGCCAGCCGCTGTCGCAGAGGAATCTTTGAGCGAACTGAGAACATGCGCGCACGCGCATGTTCAGCCAGCCGCAGCAGAGGAATCTTTGAGCGAACTGAGAACATGCGCGCACGCGCATGTTCAGCCAGCCGCAGCAGAGGAATCTTTGAGCGAACTGAGAGCATGCGCGCACGCGCATGCTCAGCCAGCCGCAGCAGAGGAATCTTTGAGCGAACTGAGAACATGCGCGCACGCGCATGTTCAGCCAGCCGCAGCAGAGGAATCTTTGAGCGAACTGAGAATATGAGCGCACGCTCATATTCAGCCAGACGCTGAAGCAAGGAATCTTTGAGCGTTTGAGGAAAGTGCGTGCCGCCACCAGAATCTTATTGCTTACTTGCTTTGCTGGGAGCTTACGAGGAAGCCGGTAGACGTTGTGCTGCCATGATAGCGGTCGCATCTGGCCTGATGTAGGTGGAGAAGCCGAAGAGGACCAGCGCCCCAGCCGTTGCAGAGGAAGAGTGGGGGAGCCCCAGCGAGGTCGCGCGCGTGGCAGCGCCTATCCTGAAGGAGTGGGCTGTATAGAGCTGGGGAGACAAATTGCAGAGGAGCAGTAGGGATCTTAGCTGAGCTCTGAACCAGGTTGCTGTTATGGGAAGGTTGACTGGAGTGAGAATTAGAGGTCCGTTAAAATCTCCTTTTTGCCGCGGAGGCGAGTGTAACGCATCATGGACCTGTAGGGGCAGAGAGATGTGTCGAAGCGAGCTATTATTGTGTTGCAGGCGCCTCTGATCTTTGAATGTTTGAGATGAAGGTTGAATGGTCAGGGGACATTATGTTGGGTGAGAAGAGCGACCTTTGTTTAATGCTTCCACTACGTCGAGATGATCACGCATGACAGAGATCCTCTTTCTCTGCCACGTGTGATTCCGCAGCGCGCAGGCCACGACCACTGGGAATGTCTCGTGTAGGGCAGAGGAAATGCTCCGGGGAAAGTAGCGGGCCACGGCCGGCGAACCACTGGTCCTGGAAGAATCCCCCAAAAACCCACGGAAGGGGCAGCGTCCGTGTAGAAGCGGAGACCTGTAGGGGCAGAGAGACACGCCGGAGAGGGCCATTGATGTTGCAGGCGCCTTTACGCTTAGAATCTTGGGTTGGAGAGTAGATAATTAGGCCAGTAGGATAGGACGGGAAGCCGTGTCTCGGACCGCATTGAAGGTTGAGTGAGCAG